TCTCTCTCTCTCTCTCTCTCTCTCTTCTTTCCTCCTCCTCCTTCTTCTTCTTCTTCTTCACTCTGTAGTCCTCCCATGTCTCTCCTCTGCGGTGTCAGCATCCTTTCTTATCTCTTCCTCTCACGCCCTTTCTTTCCCCCTCTGCCCGTACCTTCCATTATCTCCCTCCCTCCCTCCCTCTCCTTTCCGTCCGCACCCACCCGTCCCTCCGATGCGTATCGAGGGGCCAGTGCCTCTGCCCCCGACCCCCGAGGGCTCCTTGAGGTGGCTGTCTCGGGAAAGAATGCGAGCGGCGTTCGTGACCCGGAATTCATATCGCGGATGATCCAGCGAGTTCGGACGTCGATGTCAAGATGCCGGAGCGTCGGTAATTACGGTCCTCCGCCTCCCGTCACGTCTATTGTGACCGGGGCTTTTTTTCTCTCGCGCCTTTTTATTTACTTTGCGTGCTGAGCTTCGGGCCGGCGTGCGTTAGGGCCTGACGTGAGGGAGGGGACTCGCGCGGCCTAGGCCTAAGGCCTTCGTTCACGTCGTTAAGGTGATCTGCTTGTTTGGGCGAAGTCCGTGACACGGGACATCGTAATGGGCTTGTCACCCTCGCGTCACGTCACACCCACGTCTCTGTCCCGGTAACGTAGTTAATGGGTCGGGGCCCCGACGCGAGGGAGGGAGAAGATATCGAGGTTTGAGGAGCATCTGCACCTCGGCTTGGTTCAGAAGATCTGTTTATCCGAAAAATGCGAGGGAGACCTCCGACGACGGACGCGCATTAACACGCTTCCGCCAGTTTTATGACATCGTAACACACACGTGGAAGAACCATTCCGGTCTGGCGTAAGAAATTTCGGATAACTTTAATTAACGTTAACTAGAGAGAGAGAGACAGAGAGACTAAAAGACAGAGACTAAAAGACAGAGACTAAAAGACAGAGACTGAAAGACAGAGACTGAAAGACAGAGACTGAAAGACAGAGACTGAAAGACTGAAAGACTGAAAGACTGAAAGACTGAAAGACTGAAAGACTGAAAGACTGAAAGACTGAAAGACTGAAAGACTGAAAGACTGAAAGACTGAAAGACTGAAAGACAGAGAGACAGAGAGACAGGGACAGAGACAGAGATGGTTCTTTATGTGGCACTTACACGCCTATCTGACTTTGTTTTTCTCCGGCGTCCTGTAAGCGCCGTGCAAATATGACCTGCCATTAGGGACCTGTTGCCTAAGTCCTCACAATACCCTCTTATATCCCAGGCTCGAAAAGCACTGCGGCGGAGGATATTAAGTGTGGGGGGGCGGAGAAGACGAGACACATAATTGGTAATCGTTATATAGTGAGGCTGATCCAGATGGTCGCCACGGTGGTCAAAAATCGCCTTTTGAGGACGTAATGGAGGCGTGTAGGTGGGACTTTGTGTGTGGAACTTGAGCTCGTTTTCTAGATATATATTGTCTGTTTTTTTGTTTTTTTTTAGGACATGTATGGGCACGGTTGTTCATATAGCTGTACATGCGCGCACATACAGTCTGTCTGTTCATAAGTTTGCAAGAGACCTTAATGTTGCTACTTCTGATATCTCCCGCGGTATCTGATGTCGCCGTGGCAATATGAGACACATCAGAGTTTTCGAGTCGAATATAATTGGGAAACACTGGGATGTCTAGTTGACTAAGTTTGGTTCTTGTCGGTTGAGGGAATTTGTTACAAAATAGGGAAAAAGACAGATAGATGGGTTGACAGAGAAGTAGATAGATAAGTAGGTAGATAGATAGATAGATAGATGGATGGATGGGTGGATAGGCAGGCAGATACAGACACAGACGGACTCGGACACAGAGACAGATACAGAGACAGACACAGACACAGACAGACAAATTAAGTCACTGGAATGCAATAGATACATTACAAACTAGGATCCTTAGTTAGTGAAGGGAGGTGGGTCTTGGTACGATGTGGTCATAATAGTGTGAAATTAGGCATTAATTATAGATTATGAGCTTTATATGGTCACCTGGATGGCCTTTGTGGATGGTTGTCGTAACTTTATATAGGGAGTGGTCGGCCTTAAGTAAGTGTGGAATAGCACTATAATGCTGTGGGTCATTAAGATACCCGCGTGAGGAGATCACATTAGTACTAAGGTTCTATCTGACCTTTTGTCTCGGCTATCTGCTCCTCCCTTCTCTGTCTGTCTGTCTCTATCTCAGTCTGTCTATCTACTTATCTATCTGTCTGCCTCTGCCTGTCTCTGTTTGTGTCTATCTGTCTGTCTGTCTGTCTGTCTGTCTGTCTGTCTTTCTCTCTGTCTCTCTGTCTCTCTCTCTGTCTCTTTGTCTCTCTGTCTCTTTGTCTCTTTGTCTTTTTGTCTCTTTGTCTCTTTGTCTCTTTGTCTCTCTGTCTCTGTCTCTGCCTCTGTGTCTCTGTGTCTCTGTGTCTCTGTGTCTCTGTGTCTTTGTCTGTCTGTCTGTCTGTCTGTCTGTCTGTCTGTCTGTCTGTCTGTC